CGATTAAGATAACATATCGAGTTGTTTTTAGAAAAAGGAAGAAAACATGATGAACATCCATAGAATATGGAGGGTCCACTATCAGCGATGACAGAGCTCAAATAGTGAAAAATATTTTGTATTTGTGCGTTACACAGAAACATCCATATAAGCTTCAACTTTAAAAACGAAATAAAAAAGAAAAGAAAAGGGAAAACACTTGTGTTCCAAGAGACTTTAGTCAAGTGGTCAATCCACAACAACCGTTCTTGTGTCATTGTTACAATTTAATTGGACCATTCAACATTTTACTTTTAAATTATAAAGTTTTAAATTCTATGATACTAAAGTGGCTATGATGATTAAATAACACATAAGACGTGCGGAGGAAAGCAAATATTTCTTTTTCCTTTTAAAAAAAATACTGTATATTCTCAACTGTGTTGTTAGCTATCCGCTCAAAGCCGAGTGAGGTGCTCTACTAACATGAGAGCTTAAGACGAGTTGGTGAATAGACTTTAAATACCAATACTCACTTAGCTTAGGTTTCATCTTCATTCAGTCATTAAATGCCCAGTTTAATTACAAAGTCGCACTATCAGACTCGACATTCATGTTCCTTTAGATGTACACTGGACAAAAGAAACCTTGCTTTTATATTTAATTATTAATTAGGGTTTGCTTTACATCTCATATTGTAGTTTGTACATGGGAGAGTGTTTAAGTGCCACCAAAAGGGTCAACCCAATGAGATTGGAGGGGGAGGGAAGGACTTGATTGGGCGTGGCCATTTGTTCCCTCCACTCCAAACAAGAGAGCATGAAAGCATGTATATAAATGACAATTAAATAAGCTTAATACATATATAATTAGGTAATATGGATCTTCTTACCTGGGCAAATCATGGGTCTACCTTTTATATTATATTTTGGGTACAACCATATGCCATGCCCTAGCTCCCCACAGTCGGCCGGCACTAAAGTCTAGGGCAGAAGGTCTCTTTGCTCGATCCACTTATTTTTTATTCCATGTTTTTTTAATCCAAGCCCTGTTTGTTCTGGTTGTTTAAAGTGAGTCACATATCAAATTAGAATCCTATGATAAATCTGCAGTTTATTAAATAAGGCAATACTTTGATTTATTATTTGTACGGCTGTCTCGACCATATATCTAATAAGTAATATATATATAATTTTTTTTATTTTTATGATCATAATTTTTTAAAGTTGATGTGCTTTTGTTATACAAATACTAGAGGATATTACACATCCGATGCATGCGATAGAAGTTACAAAACGAGAAAACGAAGAGTGCGAGAGATAGAAAAGACAAAAGTGTATTAGGGTTCTTGGTTTACAAAATATTATGATATCAATTATGAGAATATACATTTTATAAGATGATCATTATAATTTTATTGCCACTTAATATTACGATTAAGTAATATTTCTTTCTATGTTGTATTAAAATTACTATAATAATATCTTATTATCATTGTTTAATGCGGGTGCCAAAGAAATCCCTGGAAACAACCATCTTCTTCTAAATCATTTGCTGATTAAGCTTAATCAAATGCACCCGACTCTTCGCTCTTTGTTCGGGCCAACCATTGATGGCTACTTTGGAGGTCTCGACACATCCATATATCACATCAACCAAAAGTATTCTTGTACCTATATATGGCGGGGTACCCGTAGACCTATTCTCCTTTTAGGATTATGATTTTTTCCTTTCCTCTTTTCATCATCTTCTATCTTCTGTTCTTACATTTTTTTTTTTATTTTGTCTTTCTCTTATTATAACAAATTAATATAAAATATTAACGTGACTTAATTGCGATTATTCAAATAAAAGAAGAGAGAAATGAAGGGAAAAAAGAAAAAGAGAAAATCTTACTCCGTCCTCTTAACCTCCTAACCCTAAAGTAGTAGGCCACCGATGGATACCGATACAATTGTCAGGTGGAGTGTGAGTTTGTGAAATCACATTACCCAATCAAAGATCAGTGGGACCCCAAAAATGCATGTATACAGTCCAATGGTTTGAATGGTCAAGCTCCAAATAATTGGTGTTCATGTAAAACATTGGATACCATCTCCTTTTACCTTATAATCTTGGTTTTTGTAAGTAGTATATACATTTGCCAAATTTTGCCTTTCGTTCTTCTTTTAGTTTTACCATATCTATTGCCCTTTCTACATCATTTCCACGGTTTGTAGCATAAAAGTGAGAAGCAACTAAGTTTGAATTATGTTGCCATCTAAAATAGCAAGTGCTTCTCACTCTCATTATGTGCGGTTAAATTGAACTTAATTTTATCCGTTTTTAATGGTGCAATTGAACCAACTTTCACGCATGTGTAAATGTATAGTAATTGGTTGCCGTTGATGTAAAATCTTATTTATCACGTCTTGTTATGACTAATCATAAAGTTATTGGTGCTTACAATAAGAGCAATTGCTAATGTTTTCTTTTCTTTGTGTTTGGATTAAGAAATTTTTTAAGACTAGTACATAATTCTAATAGGATTTAATATGCTAGAGCTAATACATGGTAACATGCGGGGTATAAAATAATCACATCATTAAGAATGAAGTTATTATTAGACTAGATGCTAGTGTGTCATGCTATAATAAGGTGATTTTCATTTAAACTACTTTAACATCAATTTGAAAGTGTTTTTAGGATAACAAAAAATGTTTTTAACAGCAACTGTCAGCAAAAATTACCATGCATTTTTTACTTATGTTTCGACAAGTGCAAGATGACTTTTTTTTAAGCACTTAAAAATTTAAAATTATAACTAAACATGACAAGAAAACTAAAAAGCAATGGGGGTGTGTGAGAATTTTTTTTTATTTTTGTTTTTGAAATAGAAGGAGAGATGAAGAGAGTGACAGAGAATGTGGAAGTGAAAAGTTTGTTTTTTTTTTGTTTTTTTTAGAGTAAATTACATAGAAACCCCTCAAGTTTGAGGTCTATTACAACCTCATACAACATCTTTAAAACATTTCACTTTCATACCTCACGTACTATTTTATTTCAAAATAACACCTCCGTTAGATTTTCCATCCAATGGTCTGTTAAATGTTAACGTGGCTGCCACATTTGTGCTGATGTGGCTGCCACATGGCAAATTTTTTTTTTTATACATTAACAATATTATAATATTAACCCTAAAAAAAAAAAACCAGAAAAACCCGAACCCAGATCCCCTTCCCCACAACCCCACATCTCACCCCCACCCCCTTACCCATCTCTTCCTTCCCATCCGTCCGTCCCCACCCCCTTACCCATCTCTCCCATTCTTCTTCTTCCTGCACACCAACCCCAACACACTCCCTGACACCCTTTTTTCAATTCCTTCATTCCCTCTCCTTCTTTAGGGTTTGAACTTCGAATTCCACCTATCTCCCGCCTTTTCCCCCGCCACCCTCTGCCTCCACGCGTCTCCTTCCCCCAAAACCCATATCCCCCTCCACCTCTCCCACCTTAAAGCCCCCACCTTTAATCACTTATTTGCTTTTTTTTTCACTAGTTTTCTTAGAAACCCCTGCAACCCACTACCTGCAAAACCACAACTCGCAACCCATTACCTGCAAAACCACAACCCACAACCCACAACCCAAATACCTGCAACCGTCGTCCAGGGGGGGTCTCAAGCTTATCATCGACGGGAAGGGCAGAGGTGCCTAGGTGGGTCGTCGCGGAGGGGGGGTCACGACAGGTGGGTCGTCGCGCCGAATGGGGGTGTTCACAGCAGGCGTGGGTCGTCGCGGGAGGGGGTCACGGCAGGTGGGTCGTTTGCGCGGGGGGGGTCACGACATGTGGGTTGTTGCGTTGGGTGGGGTGGGTCACGGTAGATGGGTCGTCGCGCAAGGGGGGGTTTCACAGCAAGTGGGTCGTCGCGAGGGGGGAAAGACAAGTAGGTCTTCGGCGGGAAGGGGGATGGGTTTGGTTTCTTCTTCTTATGGGGGAGTTACAGATAGGTGGGGGAAACGAAGGGGATTGGGTTCGGGTTTTTCTTGTTTTATTTATTTATTATTTTTTATTATTATTTTTAAATAAGGTTAATATTATAATATTGTTAATGTATAAAAATTATTATTTTTGCCATGTGGCAGTCACATCAATACAAATGTGGCAGCCACGTCAGCATTTAACAGACCATTAGATGGAAAATCTAACGGAGGTGTTGTTTTGAAATAAAATAGTACATGAGGTATGAAAGTGAAATGTTTTAAAGTTGTTGTATGAGGTTCTAATAAAGCTCAATACCTGAGGGGCTACTGTGTAATTTACCCTTTTTTTTATTTTTTAATTAATTAGAGATATGTTAGGATTACATGTATGTGAGACTTTGAAAAAAAAAACAATAAAATTTGGTTGTATGAAATTACATTTCTGCTCTATATCTCTTATTCATGTTCTGTTTTATTTAGATGGTTAAACTGATAATTTCATAAGGTTTTAATTGACAATGAATGTTTTATTAATTAGTAGAGATTAGAAGGGTATGTCGGCAATTTTGAATATAGGGTTGGTTCGAACCCAACGACGTCGTCAACATACCACGCAAATAACGTCCTTGATTATTTGACTTAAACTCTTATGTCGGTATAAAATATTGATGTGATTAAATTATAGGGAACTTTAACGAAAAGCACCTGGTACTGTTCACTTTAACGAAAAACCACATTTTTACACTAAAAAGTCAATCCTGGTACTATTCACTTTACCCTTTATTTTGTCCTTATCATTAAAACTCAAAGTTTTCAAGCCATTTTCATTAGTTTTCCTTAAATTATAACAGTTAAATTCGTAAAAAAAATAGAAAAAGAGAGAATAGTATTCCAATATAATCACCCACCGGTGACGGGTCCACCCAGGATAAAAAATAAAAATATAAAAAGAAATAAAAAAAGAAAGAAAGAATTCGAGTCATTCGACCCCCAACCAGGGACATTTCTGTAAAACCCGTTTCTATATAATCTCACCCTCCGTTCTCTCATCACGTTTAGTCTTCGACTGTACCTGCAATCGCCACTCTCTCTCTCTCTCTGCCCTCTGCTTATTCCGAAAGCTTCCGGAGCTGCAATTCGATCTCGTTTCCTCAAGCAATCTCGCATTCCTTGTTCTGAAAGCTTCCGGAGCTGCAATTCGATCTCGTTTCCTCAAGCAATCTCGCTCTCAAATTGGGTTTTCTCCACTGTAAGTATTCTCTTCGATTTCACAGCTTTTAATGGCGGATTTGTCGATTTATTCATGTTTTTGGACTTCGACTTTCTGTTTGTTTCCCGAGAAAATGAATTGGAAAATTTCCGAGCAAAAAAAAAGAGCTAACATTTTGATCTGTTGCTTCGTTTTCCATTGCAGGGGATTGAGGAAAAGGCGTTGGAGATCTGTAGATTCGTATTGTGGGTAAGACCAGAACAGCATGCGGTGGTGGCTGAGTCTCTCTGTTGATGTTGTTCGCAAAGCCATCTCTTTGAACCTTTATTGCAGAGTAATTCTGTAATTCTTCTTTTTAATGAGCAGTGAACAATATTGAAATTCTGATATAACCCTTCAATTTTCTTACCCTTTTTTACCCTAAAAATTTTCCATGGGATCCACTTTTTTCATCGTCGTTCCTTGTTATGTTCGTCAGATTAGTTGATTTGAATCCAAAAAGCCTATATCTTTAGCTGAAATTCTGTTTCAATTCACTCTCATTTGCTTGTATTTGGGTAATTTAGCTTAAATTCATCTACCCTTTTCATATTTTCTCCATTTGGTTCTTGTTGATCTGCCTTCACTCTTTCGATTTTCGGGTTCGATCTCACTTTCTTGTCAATCAATCTGCTCAGACTTTCTCATACTCTATTTGAGTTTTAGTGTATTGCTCTGTGTTGAAATTGTTTGGTGTTTGGAAGTTGTCATTCCAAAAAAATTCAAGTGCCGGGAAGTTGTTTAGTTATGGTGTGCCAAGCAGCGGGCCAAACAAGATTTCGGGCATTGAAACATGAAAATGGGATTGATGGGGGTGCCACCATAATTGTTAGAGTAATAGCATGCTTTCAACCTCTCCAGGATTGCCAGGTTAGTAATTGAATTTACTACTTGTTGTTAATACTTTTAAAAAAGAAGAATCAGATGCCCCTATTCGATATTTCGGGTTTATTCGTTCATTTTCAGTAGATTCCATGTTCTTTTTATTGTGCTGGATAATGGTTGATGATGCCTAATATATGATTCTTGGGTATTTTCCAGGCTGAATATTTTCGACATTTGTTGAAACCTGTAACGTAGGAAGATTTCAGTGCTTTTGTGTTCAAGTTAAGCTGGAGTATTTAGTTTATTTCATTCTTGCTGAAAGAGAGACATAAATCAACTATTTCTAGTTGTACATACGTCCTTCTGGTACGTTTTACGTTTCCGATATGATGAATTGTAGTTTATTGTTTTTGGGTTTTTTTTTTTTTTTTTTGTTTTTTTTTGGGGGATTTTCTAAGTTATTAGAAGTTTAATTATATGTGATTGAACTTGTAGGTTGTTGTTTTGGTTGGATGGGTGAAGATTTTGGAACCTGGATTTCTCAGCAGCATTTGGGCTGGCAACCACCCGATCCGAATGCAATGGGTGCTCCACATGGCTTGGGGCAACAAAACTTCATTACTGCTTATGGGAAACCAGGCACTAATATGCTTTTGACAAATGGTACTATGCCGCCATATGCATCCTCAGAGTTGCCGCAACCACAAGTCGGCAAACCAAATGAACCTAAAGGTTGGTTCTATTGCTTACCCCGTATCAGACAGGCCTTCATGCCTGCCACCGACAATGGTCTCAAAGAGATAGTTTCTTCTGCCTGTCATGAAAGTCATGGGGGGACATTCGTACCGTACGCAGACAGTGCCTTTGAACAGAAGAGACTCCTTGTTAACAATCTTTCAGGGTATCGGACAACTTTGGTCTTTAGTTCTGAGATAGTGAATCCGTTGCAGTGCCGTACTTCTTGGAATCCAGACCAACAAGGTGCTTATTATTTGGATGGGGATGATCCTCGAAATGAAAGAGATTTTAAAAATCTGTCGGGAGCAGTTTTGACTGATGAATTCAGAGGAAATGATGAATGTGGTGCTGAAAGTGAGATGCATGAAGACACAGAAGAACTGAATGCCTTGCTCTATTCAGATGGTGATAGCGATTATACTGAGGATGATGAAGTTACTAGCACAGGCCATTCTCCGAGTACAACGACAGTTCATGATAAGCAAAATTGGTTTGAAGAAGTTGCCAGTTCTGATGGAATGAATAAAAAGCGGAAGCTATTTGATGGTGGTAACGATGGTGTGCCATCCGTAATGGACACTGCTAGTCCCATGAAACACAACCGATCGCTGGAGTTAGAGGATGATGCAGAATCCAGTTGTGCCTGCCAGCGAAGTTCTGGATTAAGAGAAGTGGATTCCTTGTCCAGCAACAAGAAGATGAGAAAGGAGAAAATCCGCGAACCATTAACATTCTGCAGAACATAATTCCCGATGGAAAGGGAAAGGATGCGATTGTGGTGCTCGATGAAGCAATCCACTACTTGAAATCGTTGAAGCTCAAAGCCAAGGCTTTCGGACTTGACTCCCTCTGAGTCTCAATATGTCAGTTGCAGTAGTGCCTCTAGTAGGCACTTTGTATTACTCATTATCAGTTATCGTCGTTTAGTAATATTGGAGAATAAGTCGGTGTACATACGTGTTTGCGTATATAGTACGGCATGAAGTAGGTTCCAGCTATGGTGGTGAAAACGGGAGCGGTTCCGGAGAGGAAGAATCGAGCTTGAAACCCTCTTGAAGCATTTGTGTTAATTGATTGAAATGGTGAATGATTTGTTTTAGGGTAAAGAGAAAGCGACAAGCGCACCTGGAGAGAAAGAGAGCGTGTCATATATTGGCATGGGGTGAATTCAAAGAGAAGAAGGAGAGGGGTCCCACCAAAGGAGATGAAGAGTGCACGCCCCTTGTGTTTTTTTGGGTCCCAAAACTTCACTTTCCTCTCACTTTTGTGTTTACTTGTCATCTCTCTCTCTCTCTCTCTCTCCCTGCAAGTTTGCACGAGCAAGAAGGCCTTCACCAACCCCATCATACCAACTTGCGAAAAGAGGGTCCCAATACCAACCAATTTCTGCAGATCAAAAGGGTTCAATCCATGACAGCCATGTGAGCGGAACGACTGTTACTCGAGGTGAAGCGACAGACTTACCCAGTAAGATGATGGGGTTAAAGATGTTACTATGGTTATTTTTTAAGTGTGGTTTTTGGGGGTGCGGGATGTAAATTGCATGTGGGTGTGGAGTTACTATTGTCCTGATGCCTATGTCTTACGTTGCATGCAAGCTTTATGATACGAGACAGCGATGTGTATTTCAATATTTGTGTGTTGTGATGTGATTCCCTTTGTTTTTGCTGAATGAAGTATTGTTGTTGCAGAAATATTTTCTTTGATTTAATAATGTAATTGTGAAATGAGGGGGGGGGGGGGGGACCATTGAGTTTGCATTAGAAATATACGTGCATGAGGGGCACGTGTACGGCTAGCTGAAATGGTCTTTAGTATTAATATAATTTTGGTTTATGAGATTGAAAATTGATAGAAATAATCTCTAAGTTTGTTTATTGTAAATCATTTTGTAAAAAATCTTTCAACATAATTGTCAAATTGACAAGTAAGCAACCACGTGGTCATTTTTTTGTTTAAAGGTATTGTTGTCAAACTAACCCTTTCTTTTTAATCGAAAAGGTTCCTAAGATTTGCATAGCTTTTTATTTTGGTCTCTGATAATGAAAATCGATAGAAGTGGTTCATAAGTTTCCATCGTAAATTATTTTAGTCATTTCATGAATATGGAGAAGATCTAGAAACTCCACAAAAGTATGACCTAGTAAGCGCCTATATCATGAAAAATGTGTGCATAATGAGATGCAATGAGCATATCAACTTTTGAATACTTATTTTTAGAGGGCTATTAACATATTCATTGGATGTGTTTACTTGTCAAATTGTAAAGGTGGTGAAACTCCACCAAACTTCACCAAAATATCATCGTTAAGTAGAGGAGTTGGTTTAACAAAAATATCCTTAAAAAGTGGTCATGTGATTGCTCACGTGACAATTTAACGAGGGTGTTGACAATTTTTTTACGGAATGACTAAAGGATTGACGATGAACAAATTCAAGCACTACTTCTACCGATTTTCATTGTTATGGGCCAAAATAAAGAGTTAAACAAATCTCATGAACCACTTGGGCTAACATGTGTTGGTTTGTCAAATAAAGCCTTTAAAAGGTGGTCGCCCACCTAGTCGCTCACGTGACAATTTAATGATAATGTAGACAAGTTTTCATGAAATGACCAAAATGATTTGCAGTGGACAAACTCAATGACCACTTCTATCAATTTTCAATCTTAGAGACCAAAGTAGACGAACTTAGGAACCACTTTTATGAGATTTCTGTCTATTTGAAATTTTATAACAAAAGGCCTAAATATACAAGATCCCAAAAATGGAGGTACATAATTGTCCCATAAAATAGGGGAGGATACCACATTGCACTCTTTGCACGAGTGTTCTGTGTGTTCCCCTTTTGTACCCAAAACATTAAATTACAGAAATTAGGCTTCAACCAAATAACAATGAGGCACACACGAAAAAGTCCAAAAGTGGCTAGATTTAGTACCAGTTTAGTGCTGCTGAAAATTTTAATACATGATGGGGTCTTGTTAGTCTTTGGAAAGCATGCTAAAACCAATTTTTGTTTTTTATAATTGGGGGTGAAAATAAGCCAAAAAGCCGAATCATCAAACATAGCCTTGGAAAACCGACTTTTTATCTCAAAACAGGGGTGAACAGTCCCAATTAATGATTTTTTCTAAGTGGCCATCCTACCCTCCCAGGGCCGGCCTTGAGAATTTGGGGGCCCTAGGTGACACACCTCGACCGAGATCAAGGCACGCTGGCCGTCACGTGGGGGTGACGTAGCCATGTGCACAGTGCAGAAGTAATAAAGATAAGAGTTATATGAATAAATAAACATTGAAAGCTACTAAGGTGCACTAATAAACAGGAAGTGTTAGGAGTGAGATACAAAAGTAAATACTCCTAATCAGAGCATAGAAAGTTTAGGTCCAGTAGGACAAGTACTAATTATATAGTACCAGAAGATGTCCTACAAATATTTTATTATGTCAGAACCGCCGAAATCCTCGATGTCACCAACAGCAAGCTTACCTAAAACCTGGAGGGGCGCAAAACAGAAAACGTGATTGGGCAAAAACAACTGTTTTACAAAACCATTTCACTTCTCAAAAGTTCTAACCCCTCGCTGTAAAACATGTATAATTTTCCCAGAAATAGAATATAAACATATGCATAAATATATATGTAAATATCTCAATTCAATTCATGCTTCACATATTCATAATCATAAGTATGCCATGCCAAAATATAACAGAATAAGTAATTCAGGTGAGAATAAATTCATGGAAAATAACATATTAGCCGGAACTCCTATAGAAGTTTGTACTGCTGAATTCATAACTCATTAGTCAATCTAACCGGAGTCACTATAATGACCTATACGGCACTACACTGCACATAAGTCAGAACCACTAAAAAGGGGCCTGTATGACAAGACTGGGTGTAATATAATTATGCTTAATACTACTCTCTCATGATAGCTGGGCAAAAAATCGCTAGTCACATATGAGTCAGAACCACTTATGATGGTCTGTATGATAAGACTGTGCGCCTAATTGGATGCAATATGAGTATATGGTGCTGGATGTGACCTTATAAACAGGTATGTGCCATATCTCTGGCTAAATCACTAACACCGGGGTGAAGGTTTATGAGTTCTATGCTTCTCAATTAATCAAAACCGTTATTCACATTCACAATTCATGAACTCACCTGGGCTTACCTGAGCGTCCACAACACCACAATTATATATTATGCATCATATACTAATTCATATACTGAACATAAATTTATATGCATGACATTTCAAGGCATACTTTCATTTAAATGCATTTTCTGGGAAAATATCAAGTATATAAGTATATACTTAAAACCAAAAGGCCACTCACTGGTATGTCGAAGGGTCGCCCCGAGTTGCCCTTGACTGCGCTCGTCCTAGGGATAAGCCTCCCTTATATGCGAAATAACTATAAAAACGTTAATTAAAAGCACATAACCAATACTAGCTAATAATTTCTCATACGTTGCTCAATTGGGATGTTTGAATATACCAATGTGATCTACACAACCTCACGAACATTCCCATATTTTTATAAAAATTTTCCGACCATCCACGCGCCGGCCAAGGCAAGGCCAGACGCGCCGCCCACACGTGGGCACGTGCCAGGCACTTTGACGGTAACCCTAACGGCGTTAGGGAATATTCCGTCCAAAAATAAGCATTTACCGTTAATTATTAACAGCATCATCTAACGCCGTTAGCATATTCCGTGAAAACTGATGGAATATGCCCTCATCTTCCTCGACGAGTCGTAGGTTTTTGGGTTTAATTTCAAAACCTTATATCTCTCTCATTTGAACACCAAACTTCATGAAATTTGAACCATTTTGAAGATCTTACCAAGATGAACAAAACCACACCTGAGTCGAGCCTTGAAACCATCAGAAACCCACCGGAAAAAGCCTCGATATTCCGACAATTCTTAAAACTCGTGGTTCTCGATAATCCAATGTCCAAAATCTTCCAACGAACCACTCCTAGCCTTGTGAGGACCTCCTTAAGCTACCTATAAGCTTGAAATCCCCAGAAACACGAGATTTTACGATTGCATGAATAGTACCTAAATCGGAGTTCGAGAGAAACTAGGGTTTTCGAAGGAATTCTTACCTAAAAATGGCACCATTCAACTCGTATGAACCTCAGGAACACGATGGTGTCCTTTAAACCCTCGATCTGCAACTTTCCACTAGTGTTGTTGTTGATTCGTACGTGAGGAAATGAGAGAGAGTGAGTCTGTGGGAGAAAGAGCACGGGAAAGAAGAGAGAGGAAGAGTTTATGTATGTGTGAGTGGTCCACGTGGGACACCAACCAAAACCACAAAAACTAAGTTCTAATTTGGTCCAAAAAGTAAGGAAAAATGTAAGTTTGGACCACCACTAACATGCATATTACACACCACCACATTCATGTCCAAGGGTAAAATGGTCAACTCACGACATCGATAATTTATTTCGGGACGTGCTTTGACACTAGGCGAGTCTTCAAAGTGGGGCCCTAAAGTTCTCAGACCTCTGACTCTTTGTATATTGGTATGTAGTAAAAAGAATTCGCTAATTACATAAAAAGTCTATTTCTTCATCGAATATCATTAAAAATTAATATCAAAATAAAAAAGATATACTAACATTACTTAATATTACATGTCACATGCGTTTAGATGCAAATGCACTAAGTGTAAAAAACAATAAAACTTGATTGACGAATATAATAATTCAACAATGCCAAGTGGTTCTCTTGTGTTCTTTCTAAAATCACAACACACTAGCGAATCAAATTTTAGAATAACCTAATTTTAACAATAAATTATTGAAAAAGAAAATTTAAATTCAAAGTTATGGTTACGTCAAATTACAATCTTCATGACCAAATGATAGTTGCTTAAACATTCAATAGAAATAGAAAGACTGGGAAGTTGAAAGAAAAAGGATTGCAAAGTTACGATTATTCTGGTTTTTGTTATTTTTTAAAAGCAAAAGAAAAAAAATGCATTTGGACAATTGAGGCCATTAATTTCACTAGCCTCTTGTCACACGCGTAGGCGTGTGACGATTGGCCTTTGTATGTTTTTTATTTAAGAAACTCAAGTTTTTTCTATTTACACAATTTTTATTTAAAATATTTTTGAAAATAAATATGAATTTAAACATAAACCACCCACTAACATGAGGTTTTGTTATATTTTTTTTCTTCTAAAGTTGAAAATTTTAAATTCATTCAAAATTACAAATTATTTTAACTCCTTTTGATTCTTGTAATTTTAAAATTTTTAAAGAACAATTTATCTTTAATTTCATAGATTTGAAAAAAGCAAAAACTAATGCCTACAAGGTGTTTCGAACTACCCACCCCAATGAAAACGGAATGGAACCGTTTCCACTGCACCAACGAAATAATTGTGATGTTTCTTACGTGTTCTTTATTTATATTTTATATACATGATGTATAAAAAAATATGGACCCCCACCCCCCCCCCTCCGGGAACTTAGGGGCCCTAGGCGACCGTCTACCTTGACTACCCTCAGGGTCGACCCTGTACCCTCCCTTTCTCTTTTTTATCGTACCTATTTCGCTTGAACCACGCATTTAGCATGTTGAATCACATAGTCACTACATTAGTGCTCGCTTGACCATTATGAGCTGCCGCTATTACCTGACCAGAGCTGCCACCACACTGC